AGAGAAAAGAAGACAGTTGTGTTGTAGATGTGAAGGCAGAGAAGAGTCACTGTGTCTGTCACAAGGCTGGATAGGAAACCTTGGTCAGACCTGGGAGAGAAAGTTTCTTATCTTAGGTTTTTGGAGTTAATACACGTATCTTCTTTATTCACTTGGAAAATGGCAACCTTTCCATAAAGATCACATTCCTAAGCAGATGCTTCCTCTGTCTCATTCTAAAGGATTCCAAAGTTCCTTGAACTTCTGTTATGAGTTGACTTTCATGGCAGCTCCACTATGGTAGGTGGTTACAAAGAGAGCCTGACTTTGTTGTTGGTGTAGAATGCCTTTCTGAGACTTCAAAAGGTCAGATTTTAAATATACATATATATTTTTAATGGAATGAGAAAATGATTAGCTCTTTATAGTGTGGTAGTAGAACATGAAGTCATGTTACCTTGCAGTGAAGAAAATGAGCTATGTAGGCTTTATATTAAGGACAGTAGGTATTTACTGCTTCTGTAATGATGAAAGTCTGGAAACTACCTAAATGCCCAGTAGTGCAGGATTGAATAAGTAAGTTATCTTAAGTTCATGTAATATGGAATGCAGTCCATTCTCACCCACACATACACCATTTGATCTAAAGAAAATGACTTTGATATATATACGTTGTTTTAAACATATGTTTAGAAGCATAGAAAATGTAGGGACTTTTTTTATTGTGATAAAAATACACAACATAATTTACCATATTAGCCAGTTTTACACATACAGTTTAGTGGCATTAAGTACATTTATTCACATTATTTTGCAGCCATTACCATCATCCATGGTAGTGAACTTTTAGTTTATTCATTTTTGCATTATTTGCATCTTTTACAAGAATGTATTGATCTTATTATAAAAATTGACTTAGATTATAACCCAAGGCTTTGCACTAGCTCTGTGACCATGGACAAGTTTAATGTTTTTACCATTTGCAAATGAGGATAATTAATAGTACCTCTCATAGCATCATTATAAAGACTAAAGAAGTGTACGTATATGTTGATGTATTTGTATTTTTTTAGGGTGACATGAAATAAGCACTATACTGAGTGTTGGCTGTTATTTTTGTTGGTTACATATGTGATCCTAAGGGTGTGAAGGGTAAAACGAGACTTCAAAACCACATAACGTGCCACATGTTGTTTTATAATTTAGACTCTGAATAGGGTTTAGACTTGAAAGTATAAATAAAGTAATATTCTTAAAAACAGACATACATTTCTGAAAGATGTACAGTTTATAAAAGTAATGAATACAGGAGCGCCTGGGTGCCTCAGTTGGTTGAGCGTCCAACTTCGGCTTAGGTCATGATCTCACGGTTCGTGAGTTTGAGCCCCGCGTCTGTCTCTGTACTGACAGCTCTGAGCCTGGAGCCTGTTTAGGATTCTGTCTCCCTCTTTCTGCCCCTCTCCCACTCGTGCTCTCTCTCTCTCTCTCTCTCAAAAGTAAATAAACGTTAAAAAAAAAAAAAAAGTAATGAATACAGATCATTTGCCTACAATTGGTGAACCTCTCGGTTCTCATACAGTGTATGCTGGCACAATGGCGTTCTGTAAACGAGGTTGACATGTCCTGTGGTAAAAGTCGAGTCAGGATATTTTCTCACCAAAAAATAAAAGATAGTACTTTCTCAAGTTTAAGGTATTTTTTTCATAAATTTGTCCTAATTGTTAGTGATTGCTATTACTTGTAAAAGCAAAAAATTTTAACTGAAAAACTGGAAATACATATTTATACTCAGGCTTTTGCTTTTTTACCTTTGTTCCTCTTGATTGTAGTTTGTTCTAAAGGACATATGCTTCTGTCTGTGAATTTAAACTGCATATATATATATATAGTTATAGTTATAGTTATATGGTTTTATTTCCTGCTAATAAAATGCTTCCTTGTTCATGATACAATTAAATATGTCTGTTTGATGGGGTTGTGTCCCTGTCCCCAGCTCTGCAGCTCATGGATGATGGTACCACTGGCTCACATGTCCTTGTTGAGTTTCTTAACTGAGATGTTGTAGATACCACAAAGATGATGTTCCTTTAATTGTGTTTTTAATGTAGAATACCTTGTCCTTTTAAAATATTTTGTTTCTGGTTCATATTTACATGATGTAAATGGAATGTGGAATGGACTGGAAAACATGAAATAGCTCTTTAAAGATGCCTGACTTCAAAATGAATGTTGCCATTTGTGGTTAGAAATGAAAACAAAAAACTTTCATGAGTCGTATTTGAATTCTTTTAGGTCATAGTTGTATCTTAGCTTAAAATTCTGTATATTATAAATTAGTATTATCTGTGCATTGTTTTATTGCTTCCCCTTTAAATTGTCCATGGTGCTTAATAGAGATAGAACATACAACACACACAAACACAAACACACATATATATATAGAGAGAGAGTAAACCTATATTTTTTTTGGGTTCTGATAATATATCAGTGAAAGTGATTTAAAAATATTTGCAGTTGATCTCTTACAAACTAATCTTATGTGGGTTTTACAGTCTTTTAGAAATTAAGTAGTAAAAAATATTTCATTGACCCATTTATTCACTGAAATTAGTAATATGTGACTTACTGAGGCTTAAACTGGGAAATAAAATATAACAGTTTCTATAGTTATATTTTAAAAAAGAAAAGAAACCTGGGAGTTTCTGTGGTTTGTGGTAGAAATACCTAGTATGTGGAAGACCTTCCATTAGATTTGCCAAATATTGGAAACCTGCTCTGTGCAAGACATCTCACTCAACCTTAAAGAAATTTTGAAAGATGACTAATTTGCCTTTGAGGCAAAGAGAGATCAAAAAGATTGTAAATTATTAAAATAGAAGCTTGATTAGGACATGAGTCTCAAGATGATAAGGTTTTTGGGGGTGACAGTGGGGTTAATGGGGTCCAGACCGATGGCCAAGAAAGAATTCTTAAAGATGCTGTTGGTGCAAAACGGTGATTTTATTAAAGCATGGGGACGAGCGTGGGCAGGAAGAGCTGCCCTGGGATGATGAGGAGACATTGGTTATATAGTTAGGAGTTGGGGGAGGTAAAGTCAAGGGGAAGTTTCCAGTGAGATTTTCATATGCTAAAGAAGACTTCCAGGATATTGGAGGCCTAGCTATTATCAAGCAAGGTTGTTTTCCCTGTGGCAAAGCATTAGCATTAAGACAGTGGGGAGTCCTGGAGAAACATTTTACTCTGCCTGCCTCAAGTATTTGTCAATGGACTGCAAGTTACAAGGAAATTTAGTTCTGCCATTTCCTTCTGTCTTTGTTTCCCACATCACTATGGAGGGATGATGTTGGGGCTCCAGGAAACAGAGTCTATAGGTTTCTGGAGATTAGGCTATTGATGATTGCCTTTTTCCTATAGTTTACTAAGATATTCATGAATAGATGGAGACTCAGGTCTTGTAGGACTATGATCTCTATCAGTTAACCATTTGTTTTTCCCCTTTCCTTTGTTCTCAGGCAGCCAAGAGGAATATCACACATATCCCAACTGTGTGTGGGGGGGTGGGGGGGGCAGGGTTGTGGCCTGTCAGCGTGCCTCATGCTCCCTCATCACAAGAGATTGGAGTGGGGACACTCTTAAGTGTTAACTTGGTTGTGGCCACAGGAAAGTGTGTGAGGTGTCCCAATCCCTGGACTGCGCTCACAAACTCTCTACTCCAACCCACTCCAAGTCTCACCTTTTATATTTTGTAAATTCTGCACTAATGTAAAAAGGAGAGACAAACTTTGAAAAAAGTTTTTTGAAAGGTTAAGTAAGAAGCTGATATAGGATATTGTCACTCTGTTGGAGTTCCCTTCCGGGTACAGCTCAGTGGCTTGGTACTGCCATCACTGAACGTGGCCATGCTTGAGTATACAGTGAGTTTATTTCAAAGTTTTATGGATACTTCCTACAGAATCAGTTTACACAGTGTATGTTTTTCCTTTCTATGTAGTTTTTTCCCTTATTGTAACTTTTTTTAACGCTTATTTTTGAGAGAGAGAGAGAGAGAGAGAGTGTGTGTGTGTGTGTGTGTGTGTGTGTGAGCAGGGGAGGGGCAGAGAGAAAGGGAGACACAGAATCCAAAGCAGGTTTCAGGCTCTGAGCTGTCAGCACAGAGCCCAATGTGGGTCTCAAACCAAGAACCACGAGGTCATGACCTTAGCCGAAGTTAGACTCTTAACCAACTGAGCCGCCCAGGTGCACCGCCCCCGCATTGTAACTTAAGAATTCAACGTTACAAACATTTTATTTTTTTTTTTTTATTTTTTTTTTCAACGTTTATTTATTTTTGGGACAGAGAGAGACAGAGCATGAACGGGGGAGGGGCAGAGAGAGAGGGAGACACAGAATCGGAAACAGGCTCCAGGTCTGAGCCATCAGCCCAGAGCCTGATGCGGGGCTCGAACTCACAGACCGCGAGATCGTGACCTGGCTGAAGTCGGACGCTTAACCGACTGCGCCACCCAGGCGCCCCTACGTTACAAACATTTTAAATCATCAGAATTTATTTCCAGCATAGGTAAACATGATATGAAGTGATGTCGTCTATCACACACACATGCAGGCATTCTTACTTATAAGAACATGGTATGAAATGCCAGTTTAGTCAGTTATCTCAAAAGTAGTGTCTGTCTCATAAGGTTATGGGGATTAAATGAATTAATGTATGTACTCAGAGCAGTGCCTGGCATATAAAGAGCATCAGGATGCAGAATAACGTGAATAGTGTAATACCATTTGTTAAAACAGGGTTTGGATATATTGTACCTAGAAACTGGTGACTAAAGGATATTTTTGAGAGAATAAACAAAACTAGAAATAGTTTCTTTGGGAAAGAGGAGAGAACCTGGGGGGTAAAAGGGGGACATAAATCTTGTCAACCTTTTAACTGTTTTTAACCATATATTAATTTAAAAAATAATGTCATGTTTTAAGTAATTTAAGAGCATCTACTTTGGGATGAGAATCTGTGTTCTTTTCAGATGGCCCTGCCGAGGCACCAGTGACCAATGGGAACACAACCACGGTGCCATCCCTGAATGATGATCTGGACATCTTTGGACCAATGATTTCTAATCCCTTACCTGCAACGGTCATACCCGCAGCTCAGGTATGTAGTAAGAACATGGTTTTACATCATCACTGCTTATTTCCTTTTTGAAAAGCCTCAAAAGTTCAATTTTGAAAGAATTGTCTCTGAGCAGTCTCTGATTTGAAAGCTTACTGTTCTTTAGGCCAGGGGTTGACAAACTAAGCCTGCAGCTTGATTTTGCAAACAAAGTTTTATTGGAACACAGGCATTCCATTTATTTACATATTGCCTGTGGGTGCTTTTACATCACAAAAGCATATTAAATAGTTGCAACACTCTTTGACCCAAAAGGCCTAAATATTCACTGTTTGAAGTGTGCTGACTCTGGCTTTAGGCAAACAGTGGTGTTTAGAGTGAATAAGTGGGAAAATTAAGACTATTTCAACCTTGCCAGAGATTAACTCGGTAACTTCAGAGGTTTTAAAGTTAACCATAGGTGTATAAATATTGATTATATAAGCTAGTAGTTCTATTTTTATGCTCTATTGAGCCATCCTCAAGATAGTTTATTTCTGGTTGCAGAAAAATCAAGAATAAGAAATTGTAGCAAATTAAGTACTCCTATTCTTTCTTATGAAGATAGTTGTTTTAAGTTAGCCTTAAAATTGTTTTATTATTGAAGTATAGTGGACATACAATGTTTCTACTTTTAAATTTTTTAAAAAATTATTTAGGGCAATATTAATGATCAGGATTTTTTTTCACATTGATGATAAAGAAATTTTGAATTCTGTTCCTGACGTTACATTTTGCCTTTATTCCTTTTTTTAAAATTGTAAGTTGTTTAATACTTTAAATATTTTTTCAGCTTTATTGAGGTATAATTGACAAATAAGATGGTAAATATTTAAAGTGTATATTTCACTTCCACCATCAAGTTAATTAACACACCCATCACCTCACATATTTACTTTTTTTGGTGAGAACTTTAGTTTTTTTCTTTACAAGTTTCAGTTACACAATACAGTATAATCAACTGTAGTCATATTAGATGTCCTCAGACCTTACTTGTTGTATAACTGAAAGTTTGTATCAACCTCTATTTTTTGTCCACTCCCAAGCTCTGGTAACCACCATCTATGAATTCAACTTTTCTTTTTAATTCCACATACAAGTGATCCCATCAAGTATTTATCTTTTTTGAAGGTGAATATATTAACTTTTAGGAATATAGGTTACTCTTAAGCATACAACTTTAAAATTCTATTTTAAATTTATACTTTATAAATGAACAACAGTGTGTTTTGGTACAGCATAATTTTTGAGGTAAAATATTTCTTTTTCTCTAGAAAAACTGAGCCAAATGAAAATTGTTTGGGTGGAAAGTTTTAATAAGAACTTATGTCTTATTAAGAAGACTAATTGCTTATACTTTTATTATGCATTCTTTTGTTATGATAGTCGTAATTACCACTAGAATTGAGCAAATAAATGTCTTAGAAATTAGCTTATCAAAATTGCAGCATTAATGTTTCAGAAAAGATAGCTTTGTTTTTTGGCTTTGTTCCTTCTCCCCTACCCCAAAACATAAAATGAGGGACTGTTACTACTATTGTTTCAATTAACATTAATTACCTTGTGAATTTGTGCAGGCATGGGTACGCATGTGATAATAAAAATGGTCTAATGCTAATGTTTTGGCTTCAGAAAGAAGCATTAGGTTATTTGACAATCTGAGCACGAAAAGCAGTTTCTTTTGGTCTAGCATTCTAGTGAGGCTGTTTTATCTGCTAAACTTCTTTGGATTCCATTGGAGTATGTGAGTTGCTTTGCAACCACGCAGAGAATTAGACCCTACATCTGAGGCTTCAGTGTACTTCATGTGTTCTTTTCGGTATCAAAGCAAGTGGAACAATGCAGACTTCATTTAACTCTTAAGTAGCACCATGACCACAATACGGGGTGCGGCTTCTACCTTTATGAGGGATTGATTGGTCTGGCCTTCATGCTTTGTGCATTCTGCATCAGCCACTAAGAGTTACAGAGTTGATTTTTAAAATCCCATCTGATTCTTTTTTTAGAACATTGATTTTGGACCAAAACTGTGCCAGTTGTATTTGAGCCCTATAAAATATTGGGTGAGCAGAGTTATCTTTCATTGAACTACATGCAAAGATTAAAACCCAGACATGTTTTCAAAATGTCTTTGAAAATGGGGAGGGGGAAAGGCACGTTAAATTACACATTTTATACATATACTCTAGCTATGTAACTTACTAATTTTGGTGAGTTTCTATTATGTAAAATTTGACAGAAATAGGAATTACTCTGAACCCTGTACTCTTTCAGTCCTGATTTTACTCATAGTAAAAATTATATTAAAAGATTTCCCACTCATGTGAAGACGAGAGAGATTTACCTGTTTGGCTGTGTAGTCTTCTGAAGGAGGTTGGAAATACTCATCTGACCAGAATGCACATGTATATTGGGGGTTCCCAGGGAATCATTCCAGAGTCCTCAAAGGTGACTTACAGAAGCCATCCCTTTCCTTCTATCTCTAATACACATAAACCAACAGTACCTAGACCTGTACAGGTGCTGCCTTGACCTTGGATCAGCCTTAGGATCCCAACAGCCAGAGAGAACCTTTGGTTTAGGGATTCTGCAGCCTCTCAAAGTGTAAATTGACAGACAAAAGTTGTTCTCCTTTAATCCGGGAGTTACACTGCTGTCAAATAGAGCACCAAAAAATAAAAAATGGACCTAGGAGTGATTACTAGTCATGCTATGTGGTTTGGCTGTTTTTAGACTATGACCACGTTGAGGTAGATGTTCCATTTTACGTACCTTCATCAGAAGAATACACGTTTAGAGCATGTGGATATTAGGCTGCTCTAGTATGAGACTGTGGTTTCATTTTCTGTGGTTTTAGTCGCTTACAGTTTGGAAGCAGATGATCTTTCTTCTGATATATCACCAGGTGATCAGTAGTAGCTTAACACTTGTCACCGTGCCTCACTTGTCATTTACCTCACTTTATCTCATCACGTAGGCATTTATCATCTCACATCATAAGAAGAGTACAGCATATTTTGAGAGACCACATTCACATAACTTTTATTATAGTACATTAATTGTTCTACTTTATGCTCTCTGTGCCTAATTTATAAATCAAACTTTGTCATAGGTGTGGATGTATAGGAAAAAAAACCATACGTTTCGGTACTATCCATGGTTTCAGGCATCCCCAGGGTACTTGGAATGTACCTTGGAAAGTGTATGGGGGTGTGGTGAGGGGGACTACTATAATAGGTTTCCCAGCCATTGTGGATTTTCCTGTAGTTTCATCTCTTCCACAGGGAATAGACCTCAGGATTTTGAGCAGGTTCTTAGACTGAACAGAAACTAAACATTATGAAAAGATTACTTAGTGAGATGGTTGCTTCATTACCTAACAACTTAAATATTGTGTGCTTAATTCTGCCATTGTGCAGAGCACTTCTAGTGGTCATCAAGCAACTCTGTAAGGTTAGAAGTCCTATCTCCAAGTTTACAGACGAGAGTGGAGATTAAGTGACAGTCTCAGGGCACAGTGTAGCAAGCAGTGGGACCAGATTTCTAGTCCTGGCAGGCTGGCTCCAGTGCACTTGCTCTTAGTCTCTGAGAGTTTCTGCTGCATCGCTGGTAGTTAGGTAATATTTTATTCCAGTGCATTCCCATATTTGGTATTCCACTGTGTCCAAGTCCTTACACATTTCAGACTTTCTGCAAAATGCAGTGACTTTTCTATCTCAAAATGCTTGCTTAATTTGTCATAATAGATTCAACTATTGTTCTCCTTAAATTTGTGAATACAATGCTTGGATGGTAATTTATTGCTAGTTTTTTTTAGCCAAGATGTTAAATGTTTGATTTTTTAAAAAACTAAGGCAAATTTGTTTACAGGATCTTTAACTTCTACCTACTACTCACCTTATTCTGTAGTTTGAGAAGACCCTTACCCAGTTTCTACCATTCTTCTTAGAATTCTTTGAAAGTCTTCATATCTAAAACAATTTCATGTAAACAAATGTGAATGTGATTGAATAAATGGCTGCAGAGATCATTAAAGTGAAGTTATTAGCTGTGGTTGTATAATCTGTGTGCAGATATAGGTTAAGTGAACATTTTTCTTTTGTATTAAATCTGAATGTTTATTTCTTTTTTCCAAAAGTGGAATGAAGATATGGTTGAGAGTATAGGTGAAGTTTTGCTGTACTTCATTTCTGGATAGACTAGAAACATTCTACTATGAGGTTAAAACTGATCTAGATTATGTTTACAAAAATATGATGCAGCTTTTGAAAAACAAAGGCTTTTCTTTTTTTTTCAAAGACAAAATCAGCCTTTGCAAGACCCTCTTGCTGTCTGCTGTAGTTCTTTATTCTAAGGGATACCAGTTCCTTGAAATAGTTGAAGTGGATCCCCAGCATCTCCCACGAATGGTGGTCCTCACACAGCAGCCACATACTATTGTTGAACCCACTGTGGTCAGGATGTGATGGGCAAAAATGCAGTGTCAGTTTAGCAGGTAAACACAGTTTATTATGAAAGAGCTTTGATCTAGTTCTCTCACATTAACAGATTTAAAATAGGAAACATTGTACCTTTATCCTAGATGTTGGTTTTGTGTGGGTTTGTGAATGATCCTGATGTCACCATATTACCTTCTACAGTTGTGTAATTTCTAATTCCTTTAGATTTTAAGGAAGGGATGAACTATGTGTTAGTATGCAGAATTTGACAGCTTGTTTTGGTATTTGTCTCAGGGGACACCCTCTATACCTGCGGCTGCCACTCTGTCTACAGTAATATCTGGGGATCTGGATCTCTTCACTGAGCAAGCTACAAAGTCAGAAGAGGTAGCAAAGAAACAACTCTCCAAAGATTCCATCTTATCTCTGTATGGCACAGGAACCATTCAGCAGCAGAGCACCCCTGGTAATTCATTTCCACATCTGCTTTCAGTGAATTGCGGTAACATTACTAGAAGTATACCCTTTGTATAATATTATTTCTTCCTATTTTTCCATGTACCAGGTGCTTCTTTGCAATTTGTGCAACTACAAAACTGGTATGAAGCATTAGAATTAAAAAGCATACACAGGATTCACAAAACTTTATTTAGAAGTAACACGCTGTTCACATATCACTTAATATTGTTTCACAAGCTTACAGGACATGGATTATTTTTGAAGAATTATTTTGATTTGCATGAAGTTTACAACTTTGTGTACAGTATGGTATTTTCTCTGTAAGTAAATAAGCAATCTGAATTATCACATGAATTCCAAAACTGAGTTTTTAATAATTATAATGAAAGACTAGCACAGTCAGATCTATTGTTTACATAGTTTGAATCTGTCAAATGCACTCCTTCTGAAATAATGAGCTGGAATTCTAGGACACTTGCTTCCATTAAAGCCAGACACCATCAGCTCTCAGTTGTGTATCTGATAGTGGGAGACAAGCCGTGCAAGTCAGCACAAATAGCACATAATCTCATGCTGTGGAGTTTATATGGCTATTGCATAAGATATATGTAGCCTAAATTTGCTCAGGTTTGTAACTGATTTGTGTGCATTTTGGAAGTAACCAGCTCTGAGGTTGTGAGTCGGTCTGAACAGTAGGAGCATATTGGAATTAAAATTTTTGCTGTGGGTTCTTCAGAAAGATGGTGATCCTTTTTCTGTGATCATAGAGGTGAGTGCAACTGTATACAGGAGCCCTGCTTTCTTCATTCATTTTCTTTTCATGGTTCTTAAAATGCAGGTGTGTTTATGGGACCCACAAATATACCATTTACCTCACAAGCACCGACTGCATTTCAAGGTTTTCCACCAATGGGCGTGCCTGTGCCTGCACCTGCAGCTCCTGGCCTCCTAGGAAATGTGATGGGACAGAGTACAAGCATGATGGTGGGCATGCCCATGCCCAATGGGTTTATGGGAAACGCACAAACTGGTGTGATGCCACTTCCCCCAAATGTGGTTGGCCCCCACGGAGGAATGGTGGGACAGATGGGCGCGCCCCAGAGTAAGTTTGGCCTGCCGCAAGCTCAGCAGCCCCAGTGGAACCTCTCACAGGTAGGCGGTCATTTACTCTCCAGCGTCTCCAGAATCAAAGAAATGGGATTCATTTTCTGAATGGTTTATTTAAAAATAACAACATGGCAGAAAAATCTGAGTAAGGATAATGTATCAGATGGGACTTGTCTATAGGTATCATGAAGTTACATCAAACAGACAAGTGAGCTGTCACTAACCCTATATTTAGAGTATTCTGTAAAGCAGTGTTAAGCATTTTTTCATTTCAGATTATAATACTGGTGAACATCCTGTTTGTAACAGCTGGAAATTATCTTGGGCATCTTGAGAGACTTCCTCTCTGCTACCTGTGAAATTAGCACCAAGCTTCAACCCAGCTCCCTGGTGGGGCATTTTTATAGTCCACTTAGACCTGCCTATGTTCACTACTAAGTTGGGGGCAGGGAGTGGTTTCCAGTCTCAAAGCACTATTTTGTAAGGGATCTAGGCTGTTCTTCATGTCATATGCCTACTTCCCCTGCTTTATAAAAGTTTGTTTAAAAACCTTTGTACAGTTGAGTTTCCTTTTTACTTATGGACAAGTCCATATCTGTCTCAGACATCCCCTTACATTATGAAATCCCATTTCTACTTGTAAAACTTTTTTCAAATCAGTCTATTTTAGTGCTCCACTCTGACTTTTCTGCATAGACAAAGACCCTTAGATTTAGCTTCATGCTCCAGCCTCTCTTTCCCTTACAGTTCCTATTTGGTGTTCTTCTAGCACGGGGGGAATCTTGGTTTCTGTTCAGCTGTTTTACCTTGAGAGCATTCAGAGAATAGTGTATACTGATAGTTAACATTACTAAAAATCACTGTACATCCTGTGAATGCTTTTACTATCACATTTTAAAGATTTTTTTAAGTACTCCCCACACCCAGCATGGGGTTTGAACCTAAACCCCGAGATCAAGAGTCACATGCTGTACCAACTGTGCCAGCCAGGAGCCCCTACTGTCATTGTGACATTGGTGTCCACCCTCTGGGAACCTTAAGTACCAAATGTCAGTAACAGCTTTTGTGTAGCCAAAATACTGAAGTACACTCAGCTCAAAGTTAAGGTGCTAGATGAACCAGTAAGGAGTTAACATTGGCCTTTACTTTCAGGCATGCTGAGGGGTGCTGCTGTTTTCCAGCACCCCTCAGTGGAATCTGTTGGCCAACGAGGTGGTTTACAACCTTTAGTTGGTATGAAGACGTGGACACTATGCCTCATCAGCAATGTGGTGAACATTAGTGTCTTTGCAAGACCACTAAAGAACTTTATTAAGAATACATTCCAACCCTGAGCACAGATTTTTGAATCCACTCTGTACTTTGTGATAAATCTTGCCTTTCCTTTCCTTATCATCAGTCTTAGAAGAAGAGAAGTACCATAGTGAAAGGGTTAGGATGCTTATATACATATATGATTCCAGTCTGGAAGAAAAACACAGGTCGTCTTATACCTTATATAATGAAAATTAATTTTAGATGTTTAGTGGTTAAGCAAAAGAAAATGTATGCTTTACAGCCTTTTTTTAATACTTAGGAAGTATTTAGAACCATTTAAGATTTTAATGAAGACAGAATAATACCTGTCATAAACAGTATATAGTTTTGGAGTATTTGACTTTCTAAAATTTACTCAGTCCTTATAGTTAAAGCACAACATCCTGATATAGTTGAAAGTTAGAATAGTGGACTCAAATACAAATTCAAAGATTGCTTTGGTGTTTTTTCAGTTGTGGTTAATCTTTGGGGGACAAGAAATGGAGTCTTGAAAATGAATAAATAGGATTGAGATCACTTTATGGACAATGCTAAAAAAAAAAGTGGAAGGAAAGAACAAGAAGGAAACAAAATAGCTATTTGCTTTCTCTAGGGAAATAATTGTTTGGTAGTCTATTTATACCCCTGTGCTTTGACTAATTTTCATATTGATGAAAAATACTTCTATAATTGCTATTAAACTTCATTATCTCTTTGACTAAATTAACCTCAAAGGCAGCTTCTAATAAATGTCTAACTGTGGCCAAGAAACAAGAATTAAAAGTGAAGTAAACGTCCTAAAATAAGCCTTTTATGTTTCACAGATGAATCAGCAAATGGCCGGCATGAGTATCAGCAGTACAAACCCCGCAGTGGGTTTTGGCCAGCCCCCCAGCACAACAGCGGGCTGGTCTGGAAGCTCATCGGGTCAGACTCTCAGCACACAGCTGTGGAAATGAAAACTGCACTGCAAGTTTCATCCAGAACTACCACCTGACATTCCTTGCTAAAACGCATCTAGTTCCCCTGTTTATTCATGTACATATTTTTTTTTCTTTTTCCCCATTTGTTCATATTAAGAATTATCTGACTGACCGTGTTGGTCTGTACAGATTAAATTTGATGTGAAAAGCAGGTTGAGAAACGATTTTATGTCAAGGGCAGCTTTGCTCATTTCCCATGATTTCGTAAACCACATTATTTGAGAAGCTGCTCAGTCAACTTGCATAATCAGTTTTACTCTCGATAAAAGTATAGCTCTAATGTTTGCATATAAGGGAAGTAGTTATCATGTTAGTAATACCTCTAACAGTATAAACCCCACCCCCAAATTAGCCAGTAATCCTGTAGGAAGGTACTGTATGATCAAATGTTTAATCATATAAATAGAATGTAAATGTGTCACTGAGCACTGTTTTCTAGTGTATCAAAGTTCTTTTATTTCATCATTCACTTCACTGTGCTGTTGTTATGATGTGCTTAACAGGGAACGTGGCTAGTGAAAGGAAGATAAACCTGGATGTTACTACAAAACTTAGTTTAACGAATGTTTAAAGAACTCAAATTTTATCTGCCTCTCTTGTAATTTGGATCTCTTCTTATGTACATAGTGCTAATAACATGAAGACCTTTCTCTGCACTATATGCAAACAGGGTAACTAAACAAAGCCACTTTCAATCCTTGAAGGTATATCCAGGTTTATGACAGTAATTGTGTTTACATTTTATGGTGCCTAGTATTGACAAAATGTTATATCCCTATATTAAACAGATAAATCCATAGACCTTTTTATTTTTGTGGGTTTTATTTCCTACAATGTATACTGCCACCAACCATATGAAAATTACTTAATATTGCAAAGTGAGGAATTGGGAACATTTAGTCAACAAAATACCTCTCCTTTGTTTCTGAAACCAGTTCCACCAATTATAAGGCCAAATGGGAAAAAAAAAAAAAAAAAGTACACAAGATACTCACAGTGTATCCCGCAGTGTCACTAGCTGTACTGTACAAAGAACTTCCAGTTTCGTTGTAGGGAAAACATGCAGAACAAATGAAGACAAAAAACACACACTTTATACCATCCAGTCAGCCGTGTTAACTGGCAAGCTCTGCTTAAACAGATGTCCATCAGATGACAGTAAAGGCTGCTGTACTGAAGTAAAGTGAACAATACCTGAATGTTTGGCAGCCTGACCTCCAAACGTCCTCTCCCACGTCCACCAGCCAGGCAAACTGCACCAGTTGCTGCTTCAGTTTCTTCAGTTTACACCTCAATTTTCACCGTGTCCAGGTGGTACTTTGGCTCGTTGGCTAGATTAACCTTCTCTGTCCGAGTGTGCCACACGAGAACCTAGAGGGGAGGGAAATCTTTTGGGTAGCCGTGCTTCTTAACGCTGACACTCAACAAGGTCAAGCAGCACAAGTGAAATGAATACCTTGGTGCAGTTATTTGCTTTTGGTTCCAGCTCTTCAACTGTTGTTATCTGTTTTAGAAAATCAGATTCTTGCATCCCTGGCTGGGATCCACGACGCTTAAATACGGCTTTTGGATTGGACAAGATGACTTGAAGACTGACAGCAAATCCTTTGTGAAAAGTGAGAAAAAAAAAAAGACTTTAAAATAAAATAATTGGCGTACTTCTCTTTTTTCTGTAAAATTTTGGACACATCAGAAATTCTTCTACATGCCAAGTATGTGCCAGGTCTTGGCTCTCAGAGTTGAATAGTAGGAGCATTACGTGTAGAAAGCAACCGGGGCACTGTGGTACATTCAGTGCCATGACAGAGGTGTACGCACAGGGGCGGGGGGGACAAGAGCCACTGTAAAATACAAAGTCTAGGCTGTTGACAAGAAGCTGCTCGTTCATAGAGGTCATCACAGCCCGGCCTTCGACACTCTGGGAATTGAGAACTAAACGGAAACATAGCTGCAGAGCATACAGACTTACCCTAACTGTCCTCGGGGTGTAAGCCTGCCTGGGTATCCTGCCTGTTCTTTAACACCTTTATGTGTGCTCTCCTCAGAACCAGCACTGCTGAGATTTACTTTTGAGTTTAGAAGACTGAGGAATACAAGTCAGTTAGCTAGAATATGAAAAATCTGTAATCATTTGGTTTAAATTTCTAATTTGGTTCAATCCGACAAGGGTGGGGTGGGGTGGGAGGTTTGGAAGTCAGTACAGGAGGTGTCCAGCCATTTGATAAATTTGGTTTTGGGGTTTAATTTTTTGAGGGAAACATTACTCTCAATTGCCTTCAATGGTTTGGTTGTGAAAAATCATTACTATTGAATCTGGTTCAGGAAACCCTATGTTAAAGGCTTAGTCATTAAACACACTGCAAGCTTTCTCAGCAAGCAACTGCTGTTAACCTTTGTGGTTGTTTTGAAAGTCTGAGGTCCTGGACCTCTGCTCTTTATGACTAAGCTAACAATGAAGTTAGATACCCTCCCAGAGTCAAAGCTGCGAGGCCCGATCTCCAGGAACGTTCCTTAGCAACTTTTCGCCCTTTTCTACATTAACTGAATTGATTTATGCTTCTTTTTGCAAAAGCATAGTTAGCAAAGTAAGTTCCAAATGATACTAGGCAGTAAGTAATTGGGGAGTTGTGAGAAAACCACAACCAGTATTCTCATCACTCCACATGCCAGACTGGGCCACTTCCATGTTCTAGACCCTGCCCTCTTCACAGGAAAGTCTCCCACTAAGCTAGCTCCCCACAAACACAACTTGGCTCAGCACCTGCTGAGTGAGGCAGAACAAGTAAAACAATCATGAAGCATTAGCCTGAGGACTGGCCCAGTATCTCCCACCAGTCCTGGAGGGTGGCGGCACATTCTAGCAGAAAGAACACTGAATTTAGAGTTAACAAGCCTTTTGATTTTGCCTAGATCCTTGTACTTGGGACACTGGTTAAGTCACTGAAACTTTCTTGATCCTAAAGCTTTCCCATTTCCTCATCTGCCAAGAGGGGTGTGACACCTTGTCAGCTCAGTGTGTCATGTAAAATTAGCAAATGGAAAGACCCCACTAACTGCACAGCACTGTTCATGAGGTACTATGGTATATACATAAAAATACCATTAGAAACATGAAGGGCAGGTGGCACTGGCTGTCATCTATGGCCAGAGAACAGGGTTTACAGGGAAAGGGCCTGTGAAAGTGGTGGCAGAACCAGGCCACTAGCATTTCACACCACTTGGCTAAGGAGCCTGAAGCCTTCCCCAGACAGCCAAAACAGCCACAGACCTCTTCAGCAAAAAGCCAGAAGTTCAGATTCACACATAAAAAGTAACCTTTCTAACTGGTGATTTTTGTGCTCTAGGAAGCCTTGCCTTTTTTTTTTTTTTT